TCTAACATAAATCCAAAAGAGAAAGACAAACTGAAATATGGGTTTCCTATTTCAAGTAGTAAACCCAATTAAGAACAAAACCAGACAAACAAAAAAGATAGGTATATGGTAGCTGAGGAGTTCTTTGTTTCACATATATCATACAGTATATACTATTTCATATAAACTCCTTGCCCAAACTAGGTTTACATGGATCACTGAATGATATATCAAGGAGCTACCACAATAATAGCTACTATGAATTGAAAGATAAAAGGAGTACTCTTTTTACCAATCTCCAATGCACAAGGAAATTAGATTTTCAAAGACTCAGCCAGACTGGCCCAGCTTTAAAATAGACCCAAGACAACAGAAGATTAACCTCTGTAATAGAAAGATTGTGCTTGAGGGGCATATATTGTTGGTGTGTAGACGTTATGATCTCCAACTGAACTGAAGGATCTAGATTGACCAGTGCTATCCCTTGGATGAGCTACTGGGGCAGTATCATGGGAGGAATTAGGAGAAACCGTCGCCTCATTTTTTGTTGAAATCGTCTGTGTAAGAGAAGGATAAATTAAGGTCATTAATAAGAATGTTCTTCTTCAAATGGTCAAACAGAAATAAACAGGTTAAAAGGAGCAATGCCATTAACTCAAAATTACCTGCTCCTTCATGTTTTCTGGATCAGCATGTTGCTCTTCTGCATCCATGATCAGTATGCTCAGTGACAAAGCAGTCTTAGAAACACAGGCACTATAAATTATTGACCAACCAAAGCTAAATTTGAGGATAGGTAGTCTTGAAGCTAAGCATGTGCCATCAAGATCCTCAAATCATCTAGTATCTATATCATGTTCAAGCTAGAAAGAAACTGATGGCATACAAGGAAATAGGTTAAAGGGATTTCCGGAAACAGCCTAAGATTTTCTGCAATTTGTTCAAGGAAGTTCACGTTGACACCAATGTCTACATATTTTTTTCTCAATTTCGATTCACCTTCTTTTTCTAACTCGGAATCAACTGTTTAATTCCAAGTTTTTAAAGGGAAAAAATGAATATAACAAAAGAAGAGCAGAATTTATCACTAATTCCTTCCAATTAACAAGACCCAGACCTAGATCTTAATAATAAGATCAAATTCCATATAGATCAAATCAAACCAAACACAGTAAATCAATCAAAGATCCACAAAATTCAAACACAGTAAATAAGTAAAAGAAATTGACCGATCAAATTCCAAATGACCTGGAATAAGAAATAAACCCAATGAAATCAAAAGAGCCGGAAAAAAAAAGGAAAAGGAAGCCAGAAATAACAAAAGATCAACAATAAAGAGAAAGAGATAGAATACCAGGGGTACGATCTGACGTTGCCGCCATGAATCTTCTGTAAGACAAACAAAAAAGTAAAAAAGAAAGATTGCCTTGAGAATCTAAAGCTAACCTACGGATGCAGGCAGTATCTTTCTATTTCTATTTCTATTTCTATTTCTATTTCTATTTCATACCTTCGCGTATTAGCATCTCCCATGCTCCATTGAATTACTTACTAAATTAATTAACTAATTTATTAATATCATATATTTCATCCCAAATCAAAGTGGATTGTATTCTAAATTATAAATATTAACAGTAAAGAGAATAAATTTTTTAAATTTTATGATTCAAAATGTCTTATTAAAAAGCCAACAAATAATAATATTTATATGTTTTTATTTTTATATGTTTTAGGCCCGTTTGATTTGGTTTTCTAAAAGTATTTTTAATTAAAAAGACGGTTTTGATCGTAAAATCAATACATAAATTTTTTTTAAAAATACAGTAGAAATAGTAGTTTAAAACCAACTGCAGAAGCTAAGATTTCTAATTTTTCATTTTTGATTTTGTATTTGAAAGAAAATTATAATATTACTCTTACTAATGCATGAGCTCCACTCAATTATATATTATATTTTATTTTAATAAATTCAGTTTAATTTACAAGCAATAATGTATTTTTATAATATTTTTTAATCAAAACAAATATTAAAATTATTATTTCATAATAATTTTATTTTTAGTATTGATAATATATATTTTTTCTTAATAAAAATTTTATTTGTAAAAATATTATTAATGAACTATCTTAAAATATTTTGTTATATTGTCATTGTAGTTTAAGTTGATATATTTTATATATCATAGTATTAATAAGTGTAAATATAATTTAAATTTTATATTTGTAATTTACAATATAATATCTGTAATTGACATTCACTTTTTAATAACAATCACAAACAACTAAATTTTAAACTACACTTATAAACAGTACTTTAAAAATTACGAGACGCTTTTAAAAGTCACATTTTAAAAGCTTTGTCAAACTGGCCCTCACTCTTTTACACCTATCAAAATAAACATGTAAAATCTATCAATCACTTTTTAATGATAATTTTATCATTTCTCTTGATCAAATATATCTCCTAAAACTATGTAAATAGTTAATATAACAAATAAATTATAGGATAGATGAGTATAATTTATTAAAATATAATTTTTTTGAATTTTTATCTTATTATTTTAAAGATAAACTACATAATTGATCATTTTCATTTAAATTTTATATATTCTTCCTCATTAAATTTAAAAAATATAATATGTAATCCCATTTAAAAAAACAAAATATTTCTCAATTAAATCCTCCACAAGTTATTTCACATTTTATTCTCTTTCTCGCCACAACAAATCCAGTAGCTTCAAGCAACAAAACCTCACATGCATTATTTGATAAAAATGCAGCACCAAATGGCATGCAATACCTATTGTTGTATAGACAGAGAAGTGAAAGTGCAGCGACCTCATGTTTCCTTTCCTCTTGCTGAACCCAATTCAACAACCTCAAGCAGCACAGGAGTGATCCCACCCTCTTCCAAAAATTGTAGCAAGTTTTGGCAAAATAAATACTGCCTTATCAATCAATATTTCAAAAAAAATATATATATTATTTAATGAAAATTCCCTACAAAAAGATGGAGATGGTGGTTCGTGAAGGATTGGTGCGATCAACAAGCCGTTTTGAGTTGATGTTGCGTGAAGGGTGGTTCACGTGAATATAGTAGAGGAGGTGGGGTGTTTGGGAAAGAAGTAGAAATTAGAAAGCTTATGATGTTTTAGTGATCAATTTGTAATTTTTAAAACTTTAGTTGGAAAAAAAAACATACTCAAACATTAATGATTATTTGCACAATTTATCTTTTTTAATTTTATACATTCATTGTGTAAGATCAATAATCTTATAAAGGTATAATGACAGTTAATCATCGGTGATTATATCTTAATCAATAAAAAAGATATACAAAACTTAAACAAAATTGATTAATCCAATAATTTATCTTATTTTAAAAAGTCATATAAATTTAGTCGTGAAATTGATGAAAAATTTGAGTTTTACAAATTATAAATATAAAAGTAATTTTTTATTCTTTCAAGGTACAATAAATATTTATTGTTTGTAGGTGAATGGTGTAGCGAAGTCGGGTAGATTAAGGCTTTTATTGATTTTTGTTTTTCTAACTGTCTTTAATGATTATAAAGAGTAGTTGTTTATAATTTTTAAATTATTGATAATATATATATCAATTGCTTAAATTTATAACTTTTAAAAAAATAATATTATCTTTAATCACTAAAGTCGAAGGATACATTTTTATTAACAATTGTTTAGTATAAGTGATTTTAAGGTTAAAAGGTATTTTTTTATGTTGTAAATAATAATAAAAAAGTCAAACTAAATTATATAAATAAACTTTTGTTCTTATAGATATGAAGATAAACATTTTTAGCTCTCAAGTATATCATAAAAGTTTTTAGCTCTCTCTCTCTTTTTGAATATGGTTCAAAAATGGTATCCTCTCTTTTAAAAATGGTGATCTTCGGTTCTTTCTCTCTTTTTAAAAATCTCCTTCGAAAATGGTCTCTTCCCCCGTTTTATGGTGTTGCACATTGTATTTTGATGCTATGCTCTTGTGTTATCGAGAAGATAGGATATGATTACCCTATTTTTAGTGATTGATAATCCTATATTTGATCTTCCTTGTTTTATCTAAGTAATATATATATATATATATGTATTAATGATTTTGGCTTCTTTGTTGACTGATTGATGTGTTGAGGGTCGGCTAAAACGGCGTCGATGACATTAGGAGTAGATGGAAAAAGCGGTGACGGGACATATTTATCCTAGATGACGGCAGCAACGAGAATAGACATTGGCGGCGACGGCTACCCAACAAGTCTAGGGTTAGGGTGAAACCCTAGTCTACTATCATCTGGGTCGTTGGATCAAACACAGATCCAACTGTCGAAAGCAAGAGAGGGCTGGAGAGAAAAAGTGAAAATCCTAATTTTTTTTTGGTTTGTCAAGTTGGGCATGGTGTCTTGAATTTGATTGGGTTTACTGTTTGGGCCATTGGCTGGGTCTTGGTCTATTTGTAATTTGGGCCTGAATATTATAATAGTGGGTCTGGCAATAAAATATAAAATATATGTTAGTATTTATTTTCATTATAATATATTACTCCTAACCAAATTCCAGGAATTTCCCCCATGGGCCATAACATCCATCAAATAAGATAACAATGTAAGCAATGTAGCGGTTTAATTAGTTACCTAGATACCGAAGCAGGCTTCTTCCTTCACAAAACATCTTCCATAAAACATCTAGAAATGATATTTGTTGCAAATACTTGTACTCAACAGCACCATCCATTAGTGAAACAAGGGTAGGTGTTATAAGCCCTGCTCTTTCACCAGATTTATGATCCAACTTAAAAACATGACCCTCAACCTGCATTATCAATCACAGCTGCAGATATGGGAGTAAATCACACTTGAACTGATTTGAGATTTGTAATTGTAAATCCTGCAGGTAGGTAACTTTCTTTCTTTTAACAGATAGAGTACTAATTTACCTATCTGACAAAAGGTTACAGTTGCAACCATGCAACCATGCTCTCTACTTGATTGTGATTTCTCCTATTTGTACAGCTGAAGTAGTATGGTTGGATAAATTTATTTACATGGTTAAAAATAAAAGGTGAAAGTATGTATACAGACATTTTGTGCAAGTATATGTATATATTTCGTATGAAACGATGAAGGGCACTTTTCACGAATCCTTATTTTGGTTTCTTGTGATTGTTCCAACACTCTTGAGCCAGTCGACAACTTCCTGGATAGTTGGCCTCTTGAAAGGATTGTGGTTGATGCACAGGCAGGCCACATCAAGCACTTGCAGCATTTCTTCATCTGAACCTTTTCCTTTTAGGAGTGGATCGAACACTTCATTTTGCTTGCCCTCACTCCTCAATCTCTGCACCCAGTAAACCAATTCTCTTGATGTTTTTGGCCTAGACATATCCACGGGCCTTTTACCGGTGAGCAGCTCAAGCATGACAACCCCGAAACTGTACACATCCCCTCTCAAAGTGGCTACCCATGCTTGCCCATATTCTGGAGGAATATAACCCAAAGTACCCACAAGCTCAGTTGTAACATGAGTGTGATAAGGAAGAATCAGTCGTGACAATCCAAAATCTGCAACATGTGCCTCAAACTTGTCATTAAGAAGAATATTGCTTGACTTGATGTCTCGGTGAACAATGTGTGGCTCACATATCTGATGCATGTAAGCCAGTCCATTACTTGCTCCCCTAGCAATCTGCAGTCGAGTTTGCCAATCTAACTGGGATGGACCATCTTCTTTCTCATGTAACCAGTAGTCTAAGCTTCCATTCTCCATATAGGAATATATTAACAGCCGAAATCCTTTGTGTACACAATAACCTTTCAGAGACACCAGGTTTTCATGTTGAGCTGTGGATAGAGCTTCTACTTCAGCTTTGAATTCCCTCTCCATCAGGCCAAAATCTCCTGAGAGCTTCTTAACTGCCAATTTGGTCCCATCTGCTAATATTGCTTTGTAAACCAAACCAAAACCCCCGCAGCCAATGATGTTTTCTTGATTAAAATTGTCGGTTGCTTTTAAGAGTTCAAATATGGTGAGATCCTTGACTTCATTGGTCTTGTTCGGGAACAGCATAACAAGGCTAGCATCCTTGTCGGTCTGTGGATGAACTCCAGAATAAGAGTTGCAGGAAAGTGAATCTAGTTCAATCTTATCGGTGTTCCCTCCTGGAATAATCCTTCTCTTGGACAATATCCACAATGCTAGAACAGTAATAACCAAACCAGTACCAGCACAGATTCCAAGTACAAGACCAATGATAAGTTTAGTGTTTAAGCGTTTTGGTACAGTGGGAGAATGAACAGTACCCGGTGCATTGGGGCAAATGCGATGCACAATTGAACCACACAGATCTGGGTTCCCTTCAAAACTAGAGCTGGTAAAAGTATCAAACTGACCTCCAGACGGTATCGGTCCTTGAAGATTGTTGTATGCCACACTGAATGAAGACAAAAAGTGAAGGCCTCTTAATGATTCAGGAATTTGGCCAGAGAGCCGGTTGCCTGAAAAATCCAACTTTTCCAAGTTTGTGAGATTTGATATTTGCTCTGGAATGCTGCCAGAAAAGTCATTCTGGCTGAGATCTAGCACATGAAGAAATTGCAATTGACCAATCTCCCCAGGGATGTTTCCAGAGAGGTTGTTTTTTCTCAGATAAATAGCAGGTGGAAGGCTGGAGAGCTGGTTATACAGCTGCTGACTGGTGGCATTATTGGGCATAACAAACACCGGGAGTTCCAGGTAACTTCTATCTACTTGATCATTAGACTCTTGTGTTGCCAATGCATACAGGCTTGCGAGTTCCTTGGGAAACTCTCCTGATATTAAGTTTGAAGACAAATCTATGTAAAAAAGGTTTGGCAGGACACCCAACCAACTGGGAATTAAACCACTGATTCTATTTTGGGACAGGTCTAGTACCTCTAGATTCTTCAGCTTAGCTAGCCAGTTGGGGACTTGACCAGTGAAGTTGCATCCTCCTAGACCCAAAATCTGGAGATTTTGAAAACCTTCCTCTCCCACTATATTTTCATCATTGGGTATTGCTTCATTCATAAAGTTATTAGTAAGGATGAGCGTTGTAAGGTTCTTGAATCCCATCAAAATCCTTATTGCACCGGTAAAATTGGTTAATTTATTAGTAGAAATCGAGAGGAATGATAAGGATTGCAATGCAAGTATGGCTGGTGATATCTGCCCCTCTAGCTGGTTACTAGCCAGTCTTACTGCAGTTAATGACTTGCAAGAATAAAGGCTTAAAGGCAAGGTACCTGTAAAGTTATTGTTGCCAAGGTCAAAAGTGTTAAGGCGTTGCAGGGCGGAGAAATTGAAGGTGGAGAGATCTCCTTCCAGATGGTTAACCCGCAAATTCAAAATGATGAGATTGGTGCAGTTCATGAGAGATGGTGGGAGAAAACCAGTGAAGTTGTTGATGTGAAGCAGCAGTTGTTCCAACTTGGAAAGCTGGCCTATGTCTTCAGGGACGGGGCCTTCAAATTCATTGGAAAAGATCTCAAGGACGGTGAGCTGGGAGAGTTGGACAATGGCATCTTGGATTCCCCGGAGAGGTGATTAAGCGGTAAGGACAGCTGCTCAAGTGAGGTAATTCTGTAAATATCAAGAGGAAGTGTCCCGGACAGATTGTTAAAACCCGCGCGGAAGATCTGCAGCTTGGAACACTTGTCGAGTCCAGTAGGAATTTCTCCATTGAATTTGTTGTAAGACAAATCCAAGATGGTGACGGAAGTATTGATGCAGATCCAGGATGGAAGCCGGCCTGTTAAAGTGTTGTTGCTCACATTGAAAACACTCATATTCAGGGCTGCTGCTTGAACAAGAGAATCGGATCGAATGGTCCCTGAGAAGCGGTTGCTGGATAAATTCAGTGTCCGGATAGGGCTGAGATTGTTGGTGGTATCATCTGAAATGAAATCCAGAGGCAGTTCACCATAGAGACTGTTGTAGCTTAGATCAACAACTTGGAGGTGACTGAGCGAAGATAGGAAAGATTAAGATGGGTTAAAAGTGTGAGGTTTACAAGAGACGTTGACAGATGACCTGTGAGGCCTCGAGAGGGCAGCCATAGCTGAGTGACTCGATCCATATCTGGATCATCACAAACTACTCCTTCCCAAAGGCAACAATCTATAGAAGCTGACCAATTCAAGGGGGATGAAGTTGGCACTGTTATGTTGGAACGAAACCCCAAGAGAAAAACCCTGTCGTTTTGATGACAAGTAGCTTCACAAGGGGAGGCAAAGAAGAAAATCTGTGAAAGTAGTAGAAGAAGAAGAAGAAGATTCAAGAGCATGGAAAAAGTTGTGGGTCTTGAAGTGGAAGCACCAAGAGAGGCCTCTTTGTCATCAATCATCGTAGGAAACAAGTAAGAAGAAGAAGAATGAAGAAGAGAGAAGGATGGACAAGTACATCATTATCTGGTCTCGGTTAAGCTTGTACAAGATACAAGATTGCAGTAAACATCCCATTGACCTCAGCAAAAGAGAGAGAAAGAGTACATTCGTGAGTGACATTTTAGTTTATTATAATTAAGTATTATATATTGTTATAATGGTCAGTTTTTTTTTATAAAAAAGAAGGCAAAAGGGGCTTTGTTGGGGGTGTTATTATTGTTTATGATGAAAAATAAGAATTCCCATTGAAGCGTTTACTTTTGGGGCGGCTGCCACTGGATTGTGCCATTGTGGTGGTGGTGGACTTTTTCCAAGATGATATTGATTGATGACTACAGGCTCAAAGTGTGTGGGTAAACTTTTTATCTTCTCGTGTTCTATAAACGTATCCAATCTATAAATTATAAATTGCTGCAAAGACTCCTTTCTGAAGCATAAACAGCTTCACTTCTTTGCCTTTTTACCTTTCAAGCATATAAAATTTAGGATAAATTACACCTTCAGTGTTTAAATTATTATTATTATTATTTTATTTTGAAATTTTAACTTTATTTTTTTTTAAATCATACTTGACGTTCTTGTTTAGGTATGATTTTGGTAATCCCGTTAAAATGTATTTTTATGGGTAATTTACATCATTGATAATTCAATTATCTTTTCACTCCTATTTTAATCATTATAATTTACATAATTTTCAATTTTAATACTCAACGTTCAAATTAATCATGTTTTAATCACTTTAAGTTATGTTATTAATATTTTTGTGACATCACAGTTTTTATTGTTATTTTATTAATATATAATTAAAATCAAATAAATAAATTTGAAATCTAGAGTGATTAAATCAAAAGTGATTTGAAAGTTAAATAATTAAATTAAAAAAATAAACTCCAATAATTAAAACAGAAGTGAGAGGTTGAGTGATTAATGATGTAATTTACCCATAAAAATGTGCCAAGTACAACAATTCAATTAAGTTTTTAAGTGTGACGTTCCAAAACGAAACAAAAGGTAAACGTCGAGAATGATTATGAAAAAAATAAAAAATAAAGTATCGAAACTGGACAAAAGTAATAGTTTAGGTACTATATCTATAGTTTACTCTATAATTGGTGGGATTTCTGTTTCGTAGATTTAGTGCCTTTTGTGCTGCTTCATTTCTATATACTGTCGACAGATGTTAGAGGCGTCCATCATTTTTAGTACTGTTTTTGTAGAAATATAATGTTTGAGTTGGTTCGATGATCAAAACAGTATTAAAAGTAAAAATATTTTTATTTATAATTAATTTTAAGTACAAATATTTTTATTATATTTATGGAAAATCATAATTTGACTTATAAAAATTAAATAAATAATTTAATTTTTTTGGAGACTTTCAGAAATAGTATTGTGCCATGCCAACTAAGTTCCTCACACTCTTAAATTCGAATGGTTAAAATTATTATCTTTCAATAAGCATCTTTATATTATAGTTTATTCAAATGGCATCATCATAGTATTATATTTAAAAATTAAAAGAAAAGAAAGGCAAGAATCATCAGAAACCTTTGTTTTCGTATTATTATTATTATTTTTATTATCACCTACTTTTTTATTTATAATCGATCAATTATATTGATTTAATTAAATATATGTATATATATGCTTTATCAGTATATATTTTTATTACCTCCGATAAAAATAAAATTATAAAAATTATATATTTTAATTGAATCGATATAAATAACCGAATCAAGTAATTAGGTTAACTTTTACTATCTTGTTTTTAACGAAATTATCTATTTTTGAAATTCTATAACTAATTTAATATATAAAATTAAATTCAAATCTGAACAATATATATATATATATATATGAAAATGAAGAACGCAACAAAATAATAATAATATTAATAATAATAATAAGACATATAAGTGACTAGTTTTATTAAAATACATGGTGGCAGACAGGGTATCTAGGTGTGATGCATCGGTGGATTTTCTTTTAGAGCAACAATGTTTTATTTATTTGTTTAATACTAGTGGGGTGGGGTACCAATTAAAAAGGAGGATTTTTGCTTCTTAATTGCAGTCTTTAATCCCTGCAATTATGATGAATTACCCATGATGCTTCTACTGCAATGCTACTAACTTTGATAAATCATATGTTGGAGGGTTCATTTAGATATATGTTTGTTTCACGTATAATTTTTTTAGAAAATAAATTAGTCAATATAACTTATTTTTTCGTCAACAAATATTTTTAATATTTTTTTTTTGAAAAATATCTTACGGTATGATTTTTCTCCTAAATTTTTCGCTTCAAAAATATAAATACTCAAAATAATTGAAAATATTTTAATGAAAATATTAATTATTAAAATATTAATTAATAATTTTAATAAAATATAATATTATATTTTTAAATATTATAATAATATACTCAATTATATTATAATTATATATGATATTGTATTCTTATTTACCAACTAATACAAATTATTACTTACCTCTGTCTTGCTCGAGATAGCCGGCGACTTGTTTCACTCAGGTAAAGAAGTTAATAATCAGGAAGCTGAAAGCTTCACATGACCACGGTAAAAAATAAAGCAAATATCCATTTCAAAATATATTAGGGGGAGAAAGATAGTGTGCAAGAGAAAGGTTACAAACTTTTTTTTTTTATTAATATAGAGTAAGTATAAGATAATATTTGTTCAAAGATAACTCTCAACCATTTGATATTGAACGTTCAAATTCGGGATTTCCGAGAATAATAACAATTTATTTACTACCTAGGTCGCTTGGTTCGTGCTACTTACCTAAAAGGTTTGAGTAAATGCTATATGAGTTGCAAGTAAAAAATGAAGCCGGTTATAATTACATCAAACCCCTCAAGAAAGAAATATGAACAAATGCATAGGAAGAGATATCAGTTCGCTCATATGATCACTAATTTGGCTGAGACTATCAATTCAACATTAAAGTAGGCTTGTTATTTACCTGTAATTACGGTGGTTAAAATGACATATTTTTGTTTGATTAAATTTTTATAATACGTAATTTTATAAAAGAAAATATATTATATACATAATTTTATAAAAGAAAATATATTATATACATAATTACTTGAACACAAAATTTTTTATAATATATTTTATCACTTAAGTCGCTTTAGATTCAGATTACAAATTATATTAAATTAATACAAACCGATAAATACATAATAAATTGATAAATTCTGCACAAGTTAACCGTCATTTGTCGAAAATGTTTTGGTGTGGGAGTTTTAAGTTTGTGGTTTATTTTGTAAGTTTTAAGGTTTCTAACCCGAAAGACACATAACAAGGTGGGAAGTGGTTCTAATGGATTGTTATCTTCCCATATTGTCACTGACTGGTACATGACCACTTCCCTGGTCTCAGAGGAGCAATTACATCTCAATTATTTTAGATAAATTATTAAATTAAATTTAGTGTATATAAAAAATAAAAAATTATATACTCATTTTGTTAAAAATATTAAATTTTTAGACATTAAATTTAGTGGTTCTAAACCTTTGCCCTTGTAGTAAATCTGATTTATCATTTTCGTCTCTATCGTATTTTCACACCAATTTAACCCTCGAAGTTGCTCAATTGCATCATTTCATACCTTACCCCTAACTTAAAACCCTAAATTATAAATGATTTAGTGTTTAGAGTTTATGATTTAGAGTTTATGGTTTAGAGGTTATGAAGATATGGTTTAGAGTTTAAGGTTTATAATTCATAGTTTTAAGTTAGGTGTAAGGTATACAATGATGCAATTGAGTAACTTGGAGGGCTAAATTGATGCGAAAATATGATAGGAACGAAAGTGATAAATTGAGTCTACTATAGGGACAAAAATTTCTCTTTTACCTTGTTTTTTTTTTTAAAGTTTTGTTATATTTTGTTTGACTTATATTGTCATGGTCTCATATATTTGGATTGAATTTTCATTTAATTAAACGAATCAAAACAAATGAAAAATAAATCTCAACACTTATATTTAGTAAAATAATAATTAAAAACCAACAATTAGATCTAATAGGATGAGACATTAGATCTTTAAACAATGTTAGATGTTCGAATCTTGACGATTACAGATGAAGTAAATTATGTTGGGATGATCGCCTCTACCTCTACAAAATCTGATCTGAATTAATTGATAAATAAATCGGATACCGGTGATTATAAAAAAAATTACATAATTTTTTAATCATCAAACTTAAAAAAAATCTTATTAAAAAATCTGAAGATATTAAAAAATTTATTGACGTGTAATATATATATCATTAATTTGCAAAACTTTATATAAATTTATAGTATTTTGAACATGTATACAAAGAATAAGTTGAATATGTTTTAAATATTTTATATTTTTCTCTGATTTGATTCATTGTCACAAACTATGCTAAAGGTTTTTATTAATTGAGATACGACTAGGGCTGTAAATGAGACGAGACAGATCGCGAGTTACTCGAGATCGATTCGGTCAAGGCTCGATAAATACTTGGATTGAATGGACTCGACTCGAGCTCTTAACGAGCCGAAACGAGCTACTTGATGTTCGACTGAAAAAGCTCGTGAGCAGCTCGAAAATATAATATATTAAGATTTTATTTTTTAAAAAATAAATTATTAATAATATTAACATTTATGTGTTATTTTTTTTAAAATACATTAATGTTTTCATGTATTTAAGGTTCATGTTCGAGTTCGAGGCTTCAATCTAGTTAAGTTTAAGAATTTTTTTTCTTCTTTTCGAGCCTTTTCGAGTTGCTCACGAGCTTCGGTTCAGGATTTCGAGTTCGAGTCAAGCTTAAAAATTTTAAGCTCGCGAGTTTTTAAGTCAAGTCGAGCTCCATTTCATAGTTTTTGAGTCGACTCGGCTCGTTTACACCCCTAGATACGACACAATAGAGTGCTCTTTTTCTAATCTAATTAAGACTATAAACTACGTACTATAAGCTTACCTCAGATTGTATATGTTAGTTTACCAATAATCCTCAATTAACAAAAATAGTGTGTATTGTCTAATCTATATTGATTGGATTGGTATCACGAATTAATTGGAAATCAAATTAATTAAAAATTAACTAAATGTATCAATTTTTAATAATGTTGATATATTAAA